AGTCTCCCTGAAAACTGTTTTTATTTCCTACTTCCTTGTTGACCTACCGTTTTAGGGAAAATGTACGGAGGTAAAGATAAAAAATGAGAAAAGATCCTATCTCTCTTTGCGTATTTACCATTCAAAAAGCTATTATTTATTAATCTGATGTTATTTACACTCAAGCCTATGGGATGATTGTTATCTAGAAATATTATTTGAAGCCGATTCAGTTCATTGTCACAATGGTCTCTATCGGCCCATCTTATGCTTCAAATAATCATAGATTTTAAAACTCCAACCTTTGTTTTTTAACTATGATTGAAACCAGCATGCGTTTGTTTTCTATGTGCATCCATGCTTAAATTTTCACCTACTCTGATCACTAAGACCTTTAAAAAGGGAAAATTATTGTCCTTCTCTACGTGGCCTTGCTTTCCCAAAATGTATCTTTATCCAGCGGCGGGTAAAATTTAGCTCCTTTTTCCCTTATGACCGTAATCAAAATAGATTAAATACACTTCATGTATAAATGATCAACTTGTTGTCTCAACAAACTACTTAGAAAAAGGAACACATCTAACGTTGTTGATTTCTAGCGCAACTTTGTTTCATCCACAATCCCACCATAGAATGTGTTTTTGGAAAATACCTGGCCTTACGTAAAATTCACATCTGCCCTGTGACCAAAGGTCACTTGTAACATTGGGGTCAATTAAATCTTGTGTTCTCAGCAGGGTTTCTGGATATTTAAGTCACAATTATTATCTTAGCCGACAAAGATGCAGCAGTGATAGCTATGCGCCAGTCAAGGTATGAAGAAAAAATGCTAGCTCATTTAATTGATACTTATACTGCACACATTTATTGGGAGATCCTATTGATAATCTTTAGAAGAGGCTGAGGGATGCCCTTAAGGTATATGTAAGTAATGGTGAAATTAAAAAGTGAAAAATTGATTCACTTCTTAAGATAGATGCAAGGACGCTCCGATTTACACTATTCCTAAAGTTCACAACGTGGGTGTCCCTCTCAGATTAATTGTTAATAATAAGGGAGGGTGATGCATAATATCTCACTTTTTATACATACAATTGCGAAACGATACTGATGGTTAGCTATATTCGGTTACATTTTTTGATTTTGTAAAATTGGTTGATCAACACATATTTTCAGAGGGAGATAGGCTAGGGCGTTTCGATATTGGGTCTATGTAGGCAAATATTCCTTCTTACGGAGCCATTCCGATTAGTGGAGACTCTGGGGAAGAGAACATCTAGAGATAACACTAGAAATTAGATTGAGTTTACCTTCAATACTTACACTTCTTAGTCCATCCTTGGGTTACACCTATTTTACCTTTGACGGTAAGTTGTATGAACAGACAGGCAATGGGGACTTGCATGGCTCCTATCTTGGCTAAAAATTACATGGCCTAATTCACAAATTGTTGGCTAGATATCTGGATTAGTATTTTGTCATCTGGCTGTATGGTAAGGAATGCTTGTTGTTTCCTGATTTCAATTAAACAATGTGAAAGGAACTTAATGGAAATATATGTGAATAGATCTTTACCTTTTTTTGGATGTTCTGGTAATCAGAGATTAGGGTAAGTTACGAAGAGATTTTCATTGTAAATCAAAATGATGGCTCTTGAATTTTGTTTAAAACCATAGTTACAAAACGAAGGCTAGAATTTTTAAATCAATGATTATTATTAGTACGAGACTGGTGGAGTTTAGCAATTAGACCTAAATTTGAAACAGCTGAAAGTTTTATTCCCGCACTGAGGTGTTTCTCTACGTCCTAATTTTCTTTTCATGCCTTCTATCTAAAGATGTCAGAATTTATGAGAAAGAGAGGATAAAAACAGTGCTCACACTTTATTCAGTTATGCCATCCTTTAAAAAAAGACCCATTATCGAGATTCGTCCGCTACAAGGTTGTATGCTCTTGTTTCAAAACCTTGTGTGGGTAAGACGTCGGCCTATTCGTCATAGATTAGGTGAACCCATGAATGCCTGTAAAGACAGCTGGGTCGAACGTTAAGAAGTGGCCGAACACATGCCAAAGACTGAACATGAGATTGATTAGTTTCAACTGCGTAACTTTGCTGATTATGGTACGTCTGTTGTTATAAGAAATTAAGATAGGCTAATGAAATTATAGATTTTTGAATACGTTTAATGTGAGGTACTTTAGTATAAAGTTTTGTAAAAACTGCTTATACTTTATTGAGTGTTTAAAGGAATGAGGCTTTGAGCCGCCAAAATAAGGCAATCCAACCTGTCAGCTCCGTTATGGTTTAAACCTCATTCACACTTGTCCATCATGTTATATTAGGTTCATCAACTAAGCCAGACATACGAGCCCATTCAATGTATTTATAGTATCATTAAACCTTAATGTCCCTAAAGGAACGGGCTATGATATGGGGTTTTGTTACCTGAATTACACTCCTACAAGCTTACATTTCAATCAGAGTTGTTTACGGACTTAGGTATTATAGATTAGGGTTTTTCTTGGCTCTTTATGTCTTGGTGACCCAAGCCTTACATTAGGCCTTTTTAATCCCTCTGCTTTATGACCGGTATTGCGTACAAACGTCGTCACGTAAACTCATTTAAAGCTGTCATGACTTATTTGATAGGGAATTAATCAAAATCCTTTAAATTTCTATCTACATCCTTTTTCACTTTTAGTCATGAGTATATATAGGACTTAGGAGTGAGCCGGGCAGTCTTCTTGAGCTAGCGTTATCTGAAGTTTTTTACAGGAATGAGTTAAAGCCCTGATGATGTCCGCCATATGATAATTGATAGTTTATTCCGTTTCCATCCAAAATGAGGGCAATGTCTAATGAACTCCGTCAAGCCAAATGGCTGAAGCACAACAGGGATCAGTCTTCTTCTGATAAAATCAACTTTTACGAAATAAAAGTCTCACGAATAATATGATGTTTTCAAAGTATTACTACTGTGATTTTATTGACCATAAAACCTTTTTTCAAATTTGTGCTTCGGAAAAAAATTTAGGAAGTATTTAGGAACATCTGTAAACCTCAACTTGACTCTTGTATAATCATTACGATTGAAATAATAATAAGACATTCTTACTTTGTGTATGATGATTTACCTACATAATTTTTAATTACTCCCGGTATCTGGCTTACTTATATTATTTTTCGAATTTCCAATATCATGCACAGATAACCTTATTTGTGATCTTAGTTCTCTTTGAATATTGCTGTACCATTCGATATTTATTAAATATACAAGAAAAGTACAACTGGTCTTAATAGATTTTGCTAATTTCCTTGTAGGCACCGAGGGCCTTGCATTGGCCGCAGGCTTTACATCCCCTGCCAATCTTGGTGATGACGGTGATAGCTCACCACATCTCTACCGATTTGCAGCCCCCTGGTCGACCCCACATTTCTCACTACCCCAAGACTCAACAAACTATTCTTATTCTGCTACCCTTCCAGGGTTTTCCAGTTTCGATACTTCTTCTAAGGTCTCTACTTCACCGGGTGTTCACCCTAACCTTGTCGAATCATCTTCAGAACTTTTGAATGTTTTTAGGTCAGGGGCTTTAGAGACATCACTTAACTCTGGTGGTTGGCGCTCCATGCCAGATTCTAGCATCTGGTTTGCCTGCTCAGTCACTTTTCACCAAGTGTCCAGTTTGGGGCAGCGCCACTTCTATGTCATATTCTCTGAAGAGGACATTGTTGGCCGACAGACTCCCATTGATCGCGAGGTATGTTAGTTAAAACTTTAATAGTAAAATCCTTTAGTTTAGCTTTAATAATTAATAGTTGGATGCCCACTCATCATTTCAGCTATATGATGCATATAATAAATAATCATGCAATGTGGATGATCGCAGTGTCAAAGTGAACTTTAGACCCGCTTTGCTTTTCCTTATTTTTTTATCGCTGTTAGCAAAATAGCTATAGCCTCCACTGTTTCTATCCTCTTTCTATCCTTAATATCAAGTCTATGACTTCCTATGCCATAGTTTCTTGTGTGCCAACCCAGAAACGTTGTGGTTTAACATTGAACCTAGTCAAAGCAAGCAGTACCACAACATTTGTGCGTTGGCACACAAGATACTAGGGCATGAGAAGTCATAGACTTGGTATTAGAGACGCGGCGGCGATGGGAGCTAGTGGGCTGACAGTAGGTTTTATAAGAGACATGGTCCATGCGGCAAAGATCTGACCAAGAGACTTACTCAGAGGCTTTAGCCTCGAATAAGTCACCAAGACGCAGGTGAGGGCAAATAATGCCTCAAGTGGCACAGATGGGGTGGCAGGGGTCGAGTGAAATATGTAAACCAGGGAGAGGACAGACAAATCTTACGGGGCAAGAGAGAGAAACTGTGGTAAGACCTATGGAAGGAGGACTGCGTAACAATATGGCAGACTCTGATCAGCATTCCTAGCACACGGATGAAGGGGGGTGAGAAGGCCGGCGTGGAGTGCGGAGGGTTCTCATGAAAGCCGCTCAAAAGGGCACACCGTACCACATTTAATTAAGCAAATAAAACTTTAAAAAATGGTGACAATGAGGGTGTGCTAGGAGGATATAGGAAATGTGAATAAGATAGGACAGAATGGGAGATACCATAACTGTTTAGCACACGTTTGGTCAAAGGATCGGCTTCACTTGTCTCTTGAGAACGGGAGATATCATAACTGTTTAGCACACATTTGGTCAATGGATCGGCTTCACTTGTCTCTTTGACGTTTGTATTTGCTACGAATGGCAAACTCACTGACTATGCCGACTGAGATGCCGGCGAAACGTCTGGGAATGTACCACGTCCACGGTCTGACTTTGGAAATGATTTTGCATACAATGGACTCCGGGAAAGTTGCGTTACTCTAATTCTTCCTACCAATATGACCGAGTTGCGAAAACAAGGTCAAACAACTTCAATACCAGATATGTTTATACATTTTGGTGACTCACCGTATGCTGACTATTGCCTATTTTTAAAATTCCTCATTTTATAAGGTCGTAGACCCCTATTGATAATTTACTCAGAATACTACTAGGTTTCATTTCCATAATTAAAAGAGGAAGCAGGCTAGAACGAGTAACAATTGAAACTCAAGCCGGTAGTCACAGTAGAAGTAAACAAGGAAAAAGGGTGTGTAAGGGACCTCTCAGAACTGAAAAATTAAATTCGGGGTTTCGAAGTCTATATTGATAGTTTTATGTGATTCGACTTTACTTTTTAAAGAAAAATTGTTTGAAAGATATTCGTGAACTGGCCTCATCGAAAGCCGAAGGTGGATACCTTAAAATTGTGGCTATTGGA